AGCCTGGACCTTATTGCTCCTGCTGGTCACACTCACTGCTGCGGTAAGACACCAGGTGGTAATAAAGCCATGTTGGTGCTGGATGGTGCTTATTTACGAGGCACATGTGGATGTATGCTACCTGAGACTGACAGATCTCTAATCCCCAGATATTCATCCTTCCCTGAGAACTCCTGGGGGAACTATAAACCTTCATGGATTGCATTTTCATGCAGCACTGTGGAAAAGGAAGAGCATGAGGAACGAGGACAAAAGTGTTCATTAAGGTAATTACACTACATTTAGGCCAAGAAAATTAATGCAACTTCACCCTGGCTTTTCACTAAGAGCAACTGGAGCTGTTAGAATTAGTAAAGAAAAGCTCCAGCATTAGTAACACTGTCTTCTCATATTGCACTGTGTGAAACACCTCCTGGAATCACTTGCAGACATTATCTAGATGCAGAACAGAGAGTCATGAAAGAATCTAACAACAACAACAACAACAACAACAACAAAGTTTAAATCAAAATACCCTGCTACTAAACAGTTTTAAACCAGGTAATCTTAATCATTGCTCTTTTTCTTTATTTTGGTAAATCCGTATTCTCTCTTTCTAGTTTTATCAAATTAGTAATTTGTCAGCATAAAACTGCTTCTGAATTTGAATAATCCCAATCACTATATTTTTTAGCTTTGCCATACAAAATTCAGATTTTAAAATAGTATCTGCAAAGTTCAAAAACTTAAACCTCACAGATTGGTTTGATGTTAAATTGCCCTTTGTGTTACTGCCATAATCATAGAGGCTATAAGCAGGTATTCTCAACTGCAGTAGCTGTAAACAGCCTTGGCAGTGTTTATCAGCTAAATGTTTAATGGCAAAAATATAACCAGAGGAATACATGGTACTTAGCATTTAAATAAAGCTTGTAAACCAATGACAAGTCTATTTGGTCAACTACTAGCACACATTCTTTATGTGCAAAGGGTTTGTCCTACATTTATTACAATGAGTTTCGCACTTTTCAGGTAGGGACATCAGTTTCCATTCACTGAGTTCACAGAAAAAGATGCACAAAAACACAAGTTAAAGGGCATGGCCTTGAAAAAGAACTGCCATTTCGGCAATGACACATTGCTCTAAGAATTTATTAAAAAAAAAAAGAAGAAACCAAACCCAAAACATAAGCAAACAAAAAACCCCTACCCTAAAGAAGTCAATCTGACAAAGCACCATAGTTCTTCATTTTGAGCAGTTCAGTTCCAAATTTTTTTCAACTAAGCAGCTACATCTGAGATGAATCCTTGAGCAAATAAAGAAAAACAACCATGACAGAGCATGAAACACGCAGCCTTCCCTCCTTCCACGCAGAAAGCACTGTGTTTGTTTCTGTCAGACTCTGCGTGAAATTGTCCAACCCCTAATATGGATCAGCTTCTCACCTCTTGGTATTAGGGGACAGATGTGGTGCTTTCTGCTTCACTGACTGTTTGGCCCTGAACACCGAAGCTGTGCTCTCAGCTATTTTTTTTTCACTCACTCTGTTGATAAAACATATCCCACAGCAACTCTGAACATAGAAAATGCAGTAAATAGCCCAAGAAAATGTAATGATTTTTTACTGTTATTATTAAGTAGACAAAAGTAGTGAGTCCTTCCCTTGGGGGGTGGGGAGGGAAGAAATAAAAATCAAAAAACTTTCATGTAAAGAATACCATCTTGTAAATAGGAGTTGGTTTTACTCACGACTCATTCTGGTGGCTTTTAAATATATTCCTCCTCCTTTTAGAGCTGGGAACCATTTGCTTTATGAGTACCATTTGGAACATTTGCCTGTCGCTCATAAAATAGACAAAGCTTTTATTCATGCCATGAATTTTTACTCACTTTATACAAAATATCTAAGGAGGGATTTGCAAGGGCCAGAATTACATCCGTGAAAGAATTAACAACTAATTTAATTTTGTGCAACAATAATGGCTCCAGCAGTTTTTGATTTTGTTGATTACATTTCTTCTCTCCATGAAACACAAAGGCATATGGGTGTTAGCTTCTTTGAGCGTACTTTTTTAAAAGGCAGGATTTTTTTTTCCAAAAATGAACAGGAATGACAAAAGCAGTTCATGTTTTAATCCACGTACCTATTAAGCAGAGCAGTGGCAAACACAGTTTTCAGAAGTGATCATGTAACACAGTGAAAGAACATGGAAAAACAAATATTGTTTTTTGCACTGCTACAGTCCAACAGAATATTTCTTCACCAACACAGGCAGCAGTTGCACAACCCACTGGAGAACAGGCTGCAAAAGATCACCTCTCTCACCCACATTCATGCACCAAACCACAGCACACCGTGATCATTGCATCACACTGCTTCCAAAATCCTCACAGCTCAGAAACTCAGCTTCTCCCTTGAGTACCAACAAGCTGAAATTCAGCCCCAACATCAGGATCTTCGCCTCCCTGCAGCACTTTGTGCAAGCAAGGGAGCAGGAGGAATCTGCTATCCTTCCATAACGATTCATTAGCTGTTCACCAGTAACTGCTTTAACAAAACACTTTCCTCAATATTTTCGTGCCTGCACATAAGAAGCTACTGCCTATTAGCAACTATAGACCATTGCAAGCTCCTGCGGTCCTGTGCATAAACATTATTGATTGCAGACACAGATCAATGCACTCCTAATGATTGTGATTAGCAACTGTCTGAATAGAGGCGCTTGGAGTCTTGGCCATGGAATTTTGGCTATGCAGTACCTAGAAACAGGTTGGGTGCATGCTGTATGTAGGCACAGTAACAACTTCCATAGTAAGGAAGTAGTAGAGGAGAGTAACATTTGAGGGATTTCCCTGCAGTACAAAGTTTCTGTGACTGCACATAATAGCCTTCTTTCTGCATGGAGAGAGGCACAAATACCTCGTGTGATTACAGCGAAGAACTTACCTTTAATGAACTACCAGCAATGCTACCAAATTGGAATCAGCTGTACAGGTCATCCCACCAAAGCCTGCACAGTTAGCATCACAATTAATTTTAAAGCAAACATACTAAAGCATGAACAAAATAAGCAATAGTAAAGACGCATGGTTCTTTCTATTTCCAAATCCCTACACTGTTTGTCACATGCTTTTGGAGTCAACTAGCCTCTAAAACAAGCCTAAGCTCTAGATCATGTATCTATGTAAATTAAATTAATGTAAATTATGGAAGAAATGGACCTGAGGCTGTTGATCGACTCTTGGCTACGCTGCCATGAGCCACCAGTAAGCCCAAGTGGCCAAGAAGCCCAAGGGCATCCTGGCTTGTAGCAGGAACAGTGCTGCCGGCAGGAGCAGGAGGTAATCTTTCTCCTGTACTCTGCTCTGGTAAGTAGAGTACATCTGGAGTATTACGTCCAGTTTTAGGTCCCTCACTACAGTATAGATGTCAAAGCTGTGGAGCACATCCAGAGAGGGCAAGGAGGCTGGTGAGGGATCTTATAAGGAACTGTGATTGTTCAGTCTGCAGAAGAGAAGGGGAGATAAGAGAAGATCTTATCACTCTCTACAACTGCATGAAGGGAGGTTGTGGTGAGGTGGCGGTTGGCGTCTTCTCCTGCATAACTAGTGATAGCATGAGAGTGAACAGCCTCAAGTTGTGCCAAGGGAAGTTCAGGCTGGATATCAGGAAAAATTTATTCTCCTGAAGAGTTGTGAGGCATTGGAATGGACTGCCCAGGGAGGTGGTTGAGTTACCATTTCTGGAGGTGTTACAGAAATGTTTAGATGTTGTACTAAGGGACATTCCTTACTGGGGAAATACTGGTGGTAGGTGGACTGTTGGACAGGATGATCTTGAAGGTTTTCTCCAACCTTGGTGATTCTATGATTCCTAAGTTTTTAAAACTAAACAAGAGAATTTTTGTTTGGGTGTATTGCTTACAGCTTAAAAATACAAGGCAGAGCCTGCTCTAGACTACAGTAATGCTGTAATTACAGAGCAAAGGTTTCTACCTCTTCCTGGTTCTCTCAATCTCTGCCAGTAAATTCTCAACTTTGACATTACACATATAGATTCACTGCTACCTTTAGCAACAAGTGAGCACTGCAGAGTCGAGGAAGGTTCTTGTGTCAAGAAGAAGCACTGTACCAAACAAATTACAAACCTGCTGCTGAAGGAAAAAATGCCCCCACATCCATAAAAGCAGCAGCTCTCTTCCCCTGGGAATTTAGAAGCAATCTGGTTTTCCAGGTGGGGCCTTCCAACTCCCCACTTCATCTCTATCCCTGCTCTATCTCCTTCTCTTTTAGGACCCAAAGCTTTTCCCAGAACAACATCTGGTTTCATCTGCACAATGAACTGTCTCTTGCCTTCCCTCCCATCACTCAGAAGCCACATATTACAAAATGCAGTACAGTGCACTGATACACAGGGAATAAACAGCAAAAATTCATCTGAACTTCCGCATGTCAGAAATTTACAATGATTTGCTACAGAAAATACAGAAATGCAAGACCAAAAAATCCAAACCCCTCTGTGTAAAGAAACGGAAGTGCTGCACATTAATCTCTCCTTTTCTTTATCTTTTTTGTGTAATTAAGTATTGCTTCCTTTTCAGAGAAATCCTATTACACAATAGGCTGAACCTCAAACCTTCCTTTCAAAATAACACTCCACAAATTCCATTTCCATGCCAGAAGACGCTCACAGTTTCTTGACACTCCATTCAGAAAGTGGTTTGGCTTCGTAAGGTTTTGCAGTCTTTCAAGCATGTCAGGAACACAAGCTGAAGGAAAGATAATTGTGGCATTTCTACACTAGAAAAAAGCTGAATCAGATCCTGAGAGTTTAACTAAAAAACACTAGCAATCATCCAGATAGCCAAACAACAAAACAAATCATTTTGACATATGATGGCAAGAACCACAGAGCTACCCTAAAAGCAATGTTTCTTTAGAGCCTTAGATTGATTCTATTAAGACTCAGAAAAACCACCATTAGAAAAAAAGCATTATGAGAAAAATCATTCCACCCTACCTGTGGCTGAGTCCATGGCTCCAGCGTTGATTCTTTTAAAGGAGTTTGTGGCCTTCCCATTTCTTTTGTGTGCTTTAAGGAGAGAAAAGTATGCTTCAGGTTATACGTGCAACCACTCTATCAGTATTCAGCATTAATTTCCCTTGAGGGAATAAAACAATACTCATGCACAAAATTCATACAAAATAATCAAAATATATGATGACTGCATGCATTTAGAGTAGACTGCAGGTTGGATATTTTTGCTGCAAGTAATCTAGCTTTCATAGAGTGGCTTTAACCTTCCAGATGTGAGGGTGCACACCTCCATCTGTGTGTGCAAGTGAAAAACCTCAAACAAAAGCCTGAAATTATTTGCCATCACAGTGAGGTCCAGCAGCAGAATTTACAAGAGAATCACTTGTGTTCTCCAGCTTTTCACTACCCTGGAATTTTTCAAGATTGACTGCCTCAAAGCAAGTGTCTGTGTAATCAAACAGATTAAAATAGTCTTCAGAGAATTAGATTTGCTGACCCTTCACACTTTCGCTTCCATTTTTTAATATTAGTGAAACATGCTGCAAATAATTGTTATTTTCTGTAATTGTTCTGCTTCAGAAATAAATACATGAGAGTAGTAAGCACTGGGACTAAGTACTGAATAGGATGCCAGCTCCTTTTAATTTTCTCCATATGAATTTCCAAAGGAAGAAGCTCTGCTGCAGAGATACAAACAAGTCTCCTTCATTTTTTTCTGCCTAATTCCTTTAGGTTGTAAAATGAAAACAATGGTTTTGACAAAACAGATCTTCTGTTGATATATGCTGTAATTAGGTGCCAGAATCTTCCTCTTTCTGAAATACAGTACCTCTATCATGTTACTCTTTGGACAAGGCCTTTGAACAATATGCAATATAAATATCATCTTATCTGGATATCATATTAGAGAGATCTAAATGCCAGTGGAGACTGCAAAGACTGTCAAAGTGGAAGTCATATGCCATTGGATTTTCTGTCATATGCAGTAAAATATGATCTCTTGAAATAAAACAATTTTTTGAAATACAGAACTTGTGAACAACTTCAGTTAGCATGGAACATTCACAAGGCTCATTTCAAAAAAACACCTTATTAAATGGAAATTTTGTTTTGGCAGGTTAGATTGCCTGTAATAATAGATTACAGACAATCATTTGTACCATTTTTGTTGCTATATTTTGGGGTGGCAACTGATTATGATTCATTCTTGAAATAGAACAATAAATGCATTTAAAAAAAAAAAGAAATAACCACAGATACAGTGAACGCTAAAAAGAGTTAAAATGAATGCATCTCGAAAGGGAAGGCTGTGTTTTCCATATGTTCAAAAGCAACTGTATTCTACCTTGTAATCTTTCTTTAAATGTAGTAATCAAGCATCAAAAGGACCCAAACACATACTGAAAATTATTAAACATATCAATTGTGGTACTAAGATACCGTAATAACTCCATATGGGATAACCTGTCAGGAAGTGACATTAAAAATCTGAGTATTTCTTTACAAGTAATTTTCCTTTGAATTTCACATCATTTTTTTTTATACAACATTGATCCAATTAGTGTTACAGAGCAGAGGAAAAACAAAAAGCAAAAACAATGTGTATGAGATCATAAAGCATAAAGGATACGAAAGTACATTTGGGTGAGACAGCACTCAAAACTTTGGAGTATCATTTTAAAACTCTGCCTTTTAGGTATGATGACTGAGTCACATCTTAATGCTGAGCTTCCCATTGATTAGCATCTTGGGTTACTCATTTGCTAGCTACTGCTCCCACTACCCAGAAACCATGAGTACCTTTCCCCCTCCAAAGAGGAGCATCAGTGACATAATACTAAGAGAGTGACACACTGAGCAGATCTTGGGGCAACTACTAGTTATTCTGCATGCTGTAACACATGGAAGAAAGCTTAAAAAAAGTACTGAAGAACCTAGAAGTCACTGACTTTTTTTTTTTTTTTTAATTGCAGAATAAAAAAGACACACAATATCTCTGTGAGCTGTGACTGCACGCAAGGTAGCTCTCAAATACCAGCACTTGGACTGCTTACAAGCAGCACATCTGCTGCAACTTCAAGCTCAGCATGTTACAAAACTAAGATTGTGCAAATAACTGTTCTGAACCAGCAATTGTACTTCTAGTCTATATGCTGCCTACTTACAGCATGCTGAGATACACTTATCCACAAGTTCTCTATTCCTTTTTTATTTTTTTTATTTTTATTTTTTATTTTTAAGAGAAGAGGAATGTGGTAATGATAGACAATACTCCTGTGAGCATCTTTCTTCCAACACAGATAAAAAGCTCTTTACTAAAGGCAGGGAGCTTTTGGAAGACTTTATCCCCCCATTTTGCTTGGAGCATCATCCTACAAGTTTCTGCAGTTTGTACAATTTCTCTAAAGAAACAATAGGAATATGCCCACAGTCTTTTGTTTACGTTCTCTCTACTTCCTCAATTTGACATTTAAGTTTCGCACATAGAAGAAAATTGTAGTCATAATGAGATAAAGATGGAATGATTTCAACCTGGATATTATATTATGGTTTCAGCAGTGCCATTAGAGCTCCCTTAGCTCTTGTACATGCACAGATTAGATTCTTTCCAGCAGGCAGGTGAGACTTCTAGAATAAATGAGGTTCCCTCCATTTCTGATGAAATGCCTGTCAGTTCTGGTACAGCCAACGACCCCACAAACACAGGGCATTTCTGGACAACTGATTCAGTTCCCACTGTTCTGTCTTATACAGTTGTTCTGGTGCAGGCAGCAGTCAAAGCAGAAAAAACACCGAGCTTTTACTGACTTCAAAAGTTTCCTTTATCTTGGAGATCCCAGTGGAAAATGCACTATTTCTAGCAGCTATTCCCCAAGCCCGGACAATCCTGCCTACCCACAGAAAGTACAGCTTTCAGGTGTTTTCTCATTTAAGAAGTGACATCCATCATCTTCTGCCCGACCCCCTAGAAAGTACTCTGAACTACTATGTCAGCAATCAATAAAGTCCAGCACAAAGGTTTGAAATACTGAAATTACTGGGAGTAAAGCATTTTGCTGATATTTGGAATTTTCTGTCTAGTGTAACAGCAAAACAAAACTTTAGTATTTAATCAAAGTAGTCATCAATTTTTTTTAGGCAAAAATGAAATTCATCATGAAAATTTCCTGTTGTTTATTAGGTGCAATGAGTTAATAAACATATAATTACTTATGACAGTTTGGCAGGACACTTCCAAAATCTACAAGAGAAAATAAATTGTAAAATGGATTCTAATAGTTACTAAAGTCATCATTTTTAAGTCAGGTTTCATTTTTATCTTTAAGTTGCCACACTGCTATCTCCATTCTGAAATATAAGGGGGAAATCCCTTGTGCAATTGAGACTATTCAAACTAATCTTACCACAATTGCATATGCAGAGATCTCCCTTCTGAGAGCATCCTGTCCCAACACTACTCAGCTCCAGGTAGTTCAGGTTAGGCTGATCCATAACAAAATACTGCTCATCTGCTCAGCCTATTTCCTGAGCAGGCTCAGCTCTCTGCCCTAAGACTGCTCCCTGTGACTTGGAGAGGCAGGTCAGGAAGAGGAGATATGGCTGACTGAGGAATACCCATTCCCTGTGACCCTGTCTGACAGCTACCTGTCAAGCTCTCCCTTTTGCCTCTCTCTCCACAGTGCATTGCAGCCAACCAACAGAGCAAGCTGCCCACTTGCACTGGCATCAGTGCTGGGAGCTGTTGGAGGCTGGTGGCTGCCCACGCTCATCTTCTGCTGAGCCACAGTGCTGGCTCTTGGCTTCCTCTGGCCGGGCTCCCGAGCTCTAGCAGCCTTTAATGCAGAACTCATACTCTGAAACCGTGGGAAAGTTCCCCCCTTTTTGTGAAATTATGTTCAACTGGTTGGCCTGAGCTTCATGAGCTGGGCTATTAAAGTAATCATAAAAATATACAGTAACTTGACCCATGGGTATGACCAATTTTTCAACGACTATCACTTTTCCAGACCACAAAGGCAATTTGTTCTGGCCCTTAAGCTCTCTATTCCAGTACTAAATACTGGATTTGTTCAGCTAGGAGTCATCGCCTTTTCATCCCACCTCCCTATTGGCGGGTTTTTGCTTTTCCTCAAAGGAAATCAAGATTTATTAAAGTTAAGAAGAAGAGAAAAAGTTACGATGTGACAATTTTGTTTTATGTATTTTGATTTCTGGAAAAGCCCTAAAATTATCTAGAAGGATATTACCACCAATAATACTAATGGTTATTGATTGCTGTGAGAAGCAAAAGCAGAATGAAATCCAAAGATAATATGATGCATTTTTCTCTGGTGCCTTACAAAATTGCTATGGCAGCATTAAGATTGTCTGACTCGAAAGTGTTCCACTCCACACTATACAAGAAGGAGAAAAAAAAGAAAAAGGACTTTATTGAATTGTCTTTCAAGCCAAAATACTGTATTGCTTAAAGTGAGATTTAGGAAACAAACAGCAAAAGACATTTTGTAAGCAGTATATTAGTACGAAGTCTGGCCAGGATTGCATCTGTTTGTTTGGGTCTGCTTTTGTCTTTTGCACTTATTTTTAAACAGTCAAAAATTATACTTTTTAGACCTGCAGCATTTATTGTTTTTGTATCCCATGCTATAATTACAAAATCATGTGTACTAATTTCACTGTCCAGAGAGAACATCTTTATCATCACACTGAGCCAGAGAATCTCTATAGCCTGAGAAAGAGATTATCTCCATGAACAATGCCTCCTTCTTGCCTTTAAGTTGATTTCAGGTAATTGGATTCCTGCAGTCTGCTTCTGCAATCCCTCAGGTGAAAGGTGATCACTTTCAGTGAAAAAAGGTTAATTTTATGTAACAGACTGCTGGGGAAAAAGAAAAAAAAAAAAAAAAGAAAAAAAAAAAAGCAAGATTTTTTTCCATACCTCCAAGCTTTAGATAAATATGAAAATAAATCTGTATAAAGTAAGTTTTCCTATGGGAAAGCCATTAGGATAGCTGAAATCAAGATGTTAGAAGAGATTCATATGGGAACGCTTT